TGCGTCCACAGACCACAAAGGCTGGAAAACCACGCCAACGGATGAAATGGACAACAGAAATGAATCAGTTTATCATCCGTACTTACTACATCATCACAAAACTCGAAACAAACATGACAGCATACAGACAACTACACCATAGATTCACACAACAATATCCTCACCTCACTGTCACCGAACAAAAAAGAACAATTGTACACAACAACCTTATCCCACAACCAACACTTAAACTTATCAAACAACAGGTTGCTGATCAAATACATCAACAAGCAGAAACATTTAATATCAATGAAGATCACGTAACCTGTCATGATAATCCAGCAACAAGCATTGATAATAGTACACATACAACAACTACCAATAGTGATACTACAGACACTCCATCATCTATCACTGATAACATAGATATAGATTTAGTTAATACACTCTCACTTATATTTCAGGAAACACTCACTAAATATACAGGCACAGATCCCACACAAAGACCACGAATACCGAAAACCAACACGTCAAAGGTAGTAGGAAAAACACTAAATTATGTAAACACTCACTTACTACCAAACTACATTCATTCAATTTCTACACTCTCATACATTCATACCTTAGTTTGTGCTGGGGCAGTCACAGTAGTAACACACCATGGACTGAAAATACAATCGCAGACAAACACACACAAAACACAATTCTATCACAAGCCTGCCTGGCAGAGAAGAATTGAAACACAAATAAATGACATTAGACAGCAATTAGGCAGGCTGACACAATACACTAAAAACAACATAACACCCAAATTAAAGAAACAACTCAAAAACATTTTCAAGAAAATCAAAACACACACAAAACACGAACATCACAACACACACATTACAGAATACATCGATACACTAAAACAGAAACTCGCAGCCAAAGCACGTAGACTCAAACGATACAAAACATGTACACTACGAAAACAACAAAATAAACTATTCACAAACAATGAAAAACTTTTCTACAGACAAATCAGTACCAAAACAAACACTGATACACAGCACAGTGGCACACCAACAGAAGAAGAACTCGCAACTTATTGGTCTTCTCTTTGGTTTAATGCTGTTACATACAGTGCTGATGCAGGCTGGATCGAAGAGGAGAACAGAAACTTGCACAACATACCAACTATGTCCTGTGCTGAAATAAACGTACATGACATACGCTATGCTGTTAACAGAACACACAACTGGAAGACACCTGGTGTAGACAACATTCACAATTTCTGGTACAAAAAGTTTACATCACTGCACCAGGAACTAGCTAAACATCTAACACACATCATCATCAATCCACAAGACATGCCAAAATTTCTTACTCAGGGCATCACCTACATGAAACCTAAAAACAACAAAACCACAGACCCCACACAATACAGACCAATAACATGTCTTCCAACACTCTACAAATTATTGACATCCTGTATCACAAACAAAATATATAAACATGTTGAAGAACATGGCATTCTTACAGAACAACAAAAAGGTTGCCGTAGAAATCACAGGGGATGCAAAGAACAGTTACTCATAGATTCAGTCATTCTACGATAAGCACACAAACAACACAGAAACATACACACGGCATATATAGATTACAGAAAAGCATTCAACAGTGTTCCACACAGTTGGCTGCTACATATTCTACACATGTACAAAATACATCCATCACTCATTGTATTCTTTGAAAACACTATGCAGCACTGGAGAACAACACTGCATCTCAGGGTTAGTAACACTTCCATACAAACAAATGAGATATTCATTAGGCAAGGAATTTTTCAAGGAAATTCCTTGAGTCCTCTGGTTCTGCCTAGCCCTAAACCCATTATCCAACATGTTAAACAACATGCATTATGACTACAATATCAGACATGAAAAAACAACACAGTTTACACTGTCACATCTCATGTACATGGACGACATAAAACTTTATGCATGCACACAGAAACAACTTCATCAACTCCTACAAATCACATACTCATACACTAAGGACATACAAATGGAGTTTGGCTTAGACAAATGCAAAAAGCTTCACATAGAAAAAGGAATCCTGAAGAAAGAAGATTTTGCACTTGGAAATGGAGACGTTATTGAATCCATGGAAGAGGGCGAGCTCTACAAGTATTTAGGATTCCAATAGGCCAAACTAACATAACATACACAAATAAAGCAAAGATTAATTAAAGAATACCAAAGTAGGTTAAATGCCATTCTCAAAACACAGCTAAATGCAAAACACACAGTTAAAGCAATAAACACATATGTCATTCCAGTACTCACATACTCTTTTGGAGTTATACATTGGACTCNAGTAATTAAATGGGCCTTACTGTATAATTTGTGGCTCAGTGTCAAACATAAATTAATTAAAAATTTTTAAATTAAAAGAAGTACATATCATCATAGGGTATAAACTTGATATAGTACATTGATTAATAGAAATAAAATTGACTCCATGAATGACTATTTTTAGCACTGGGTGATAATTAATAGACTTTTTGATGTCCAAAAATGCAAAATTTCTTTACAATTATGATTATGCAATTTTTTATGAAAAATTATTTAAGAAATGCACCAATTTTTTGCAGAAATATAAATGTTTTTTGAGTTTTCATCATTATTATTATTATTATTTATTTATGTTTTGAAAAGATGACCTCATTTTTATGATTTTAAAACATATTTAAAACATATGCTTTTTATTTTATACTAACTCTACAAGAAACATGAAAAATAAAGGAAAATAATGTTCATAAAATGATAATGATAAAACTTTTTCTAAATTATCTCAATTAAATAGCTAAATGAAAGTTTTTAAATGCAGTTTATTAATTTGCAAGTTTTCTCTATGGAGAAATTATTGAATATTTCATTTAAATTAGAGCTGACATGAAATTTTACCCATTAATTAAATAGTGTTGAAAAGCATTTTGAAATAAAAACAGATTTTTTTTTTTGTTCTTTTTAGGGCTTTCTTTTGGTTTTGGTTTTTTGTAAAAGTCAAAATTGTGGTTCAATAAAGGTGACTTACTTGTCCTTACTACAAATGCAAAACCATATAAGTAAGCAGTGATGTAATAAACACATGCATGGTTCCTCTGTTTTAGTGAATATTCCCACAATTAAATGTTTATAGGCTTAGCTGAGATGATTAAATTTAATTGTAACATTTTTGTGGCTATTGCCATAATATTAATTTTTTATTGCAAATTTCTCCAGAACTGCTTTAATTTTTCTCAAACCTTATTTGCACAATCTGGCATATTCTGTATCTCTGCCTTTTAGTAACTGACAGTTTATTATTATTAACTCAGCTTGTTAAGGACTGAATTAAAGAAGCTTTTATCTCATTTCTTTATTTTTTCTGAAAGTCTTCTTTAAGGATGATGATAAATTTACTTTTAATAAGATCCTGTATATGCTCCTGAGATCTCATTACTAGAAATTATGAAAGTTTCTGATAATGTTAGACTGTTATTAGAGAGGTGTTAAACTTTACACAGTAAAGTTATATACTTGCCTTTTTGCTGCATATTACAAACTTTTTTACAATTTTCACAATATAATAAAACTGGTAGATCTTGAATTAGGTTTTATGACTTCACAGTTCATTGAATTTTTCTGCATTATTATAAACTGAAGTGCCAAAAAATTTGAGACAACAGCACATGCAATGTTACCTTCAGCACATACAATGTTACCTTCTACCTACACAGAAATGCTTTGAGCTGAAACATTTGCATTTGACATCATAGGTATGATACTTATCGGTTGTGTGTGAGCTTGGTTAGAGTAGTATTTATTGCCATTTGATCACGGACAGGTTATTGGAGCAAGAAGAATAGGTCATACTATCAGTGAGGTGGCCAATGCTCTTGGATTTTCTTGTGCAACAGTTTCAAGGATTTACCAGGAATACTTAAATTCTGGATATCAGCAGCACATGCACAGTGTAGGCACCCATGACTGATGTAAGAATATGACTGCTGATGGCTAACCAGGTTAGTAACCAAGCAATGAAAGGTAACTAGGCACCAAATCACATCACTTCAACAGGGTTGCTGCTGAACCTGTCAATCAATCAATACAATGTACAACCTACATTGCATTCCTTAGAGTTTGGTAATTGCCAACCCACTCTGGTATGACTAGTAACATCCAGGTACCAGACAATGTGCCTCCCTGGGCCAAAGAACATCAAAATTGGACAGTGGATAACTGGCATAGTATTATGTGGTTAGATGAATCTCGTTTTCAGCTGTTTTGAGCTGATAGTTGTGTTTATGTAACCACATGAAGCCATGAATCCATCATGTCAGTAAAGTGTTGTGCAAGCTGGTGGTGGCTCTGTCCTGGTTTGGAGTGTGTTCTATTGGTGTGAATAGGGACTAATGCTGAGAGTGCAGTTGACTTTGACAGTTGTAATGTATACTAATCTTGTGAGAGATGTTTTGCACCCATTAATGCTTACTATGTTCTCTGACAGAAATGGTTTGTACTAGCAGGATAATGCTACTCTCCACAGGGCAGTGGTGGTGGTATAACAATGGTTTGAGAATACTTGACAGATTTTCAGTTATTTCCTTGGCAGTCTCAGTTGGCAAAGACTTCATAGAGTATTTATGTGACACTGTGCAAACATTACTCAATGCCTTACAAAACTATCCAACAAATATAAGTAAATTATAGAGAACCATTAAACATGTCTGGATTGAAATACCTGTGCAACAACTCAGACACCTCGTAGTGTCTATGACACATCATGTAGCCACTGTTATTTGGGCTCAGGGAGGAGCTACATGTTATTAGATAGGTGTGTGTAATTTTTTGGTACTTTAGTTTATCATTATCCAATAATTTTATTCTAAATAAAACTGGCATAAATTTTTTTGGATAACTCAATGTTTTAGCAATTTTATTAAAATACTTATATGTATAATTAGTAAATAAAATAAACCTTTTTTTTCAATTTAGATTACATATAAAAGGATTGAGGAATTATGGAAAATACATTTAAATAAAGATATTCTATTATGTTGATTTCAAAATGTTACTAAAAGAAAATCTGGAATATGGAAAAAAGGTAACTTGACTTATTTTATTTTGTTGCTAGTGAAGGAGATAAATATTATTATTTGTGTCTTATATTTTATTCTAAAGGATGATTTATTAAAATAGAATAACATTTTATATATTGAACTTAATCACTTCTCCAATTTCATGCAAAGATTAATTAGTAACCTGTGTTTAATGATGCATTTATTTATTTATTTATTTTTTAACTATTTATCACATGAAGTGGTGTCAGAAACAACTTTGGTAAACATCCATCTTGAAAGGTATATATGTAAATTCTGTGAATCTCTTATTCTTGGAATATGGTTTCAATCTTCAGAATGGTTCAAATAAATCCTTAAAATTGAATTTCATTCCAAGAGTATATTTATAGAATTTATGTACATACCCTTGAAAATGATTGCTTATCAAGTCTGAAACTACTTCAGTGTACGATAAATAGATAAAAAGAAATAAATACATTAATAAAACAGAAGTTTAGTCAGTATTCGATCATTTTTAAGTATAATACATATCTAAACTATGTATATTATATATAAAGTGTTATTAATCAAATAATTTATATTTAAGATATGTGATATTTTTAATAAATAACAGACATAAATACTTTTTAGCTTATTGAGACAATATTCCTTCAAAGATTATATGTGAAAATTAAATTTTTCATGATCACGTTTATTACTCAACTTAATTTCTACATATTGACTCTGTAGTTCATTAAAGTTATATGTTTACTATATTGGACTGCATTATACTGCTGCAATTCATGAAAATTGTTTCATGAATTGGAAAATTGAATTTTATAATTCAATGAAATTTTATAAAATGGAATTTAAATAAGGCATAAGATAAATGATGTTAGTCTAAAATGTTTGAATGTAATTTTAAACATTGATCATGTGTGTAAAAAAATGTAGTTTAATCAGAACATTTTAATTTATTATTGAGTTTAAATTTTATCGGTTTTTTTTTTTTTGCTAAGAAATAGATTTATGATGCTGTGTAAAAAAATCTGTTTTCTAACAATATAAAACTTTTTACTATCAGAATAAGGAAATGTTTGTATTATCACAAATATGAAATTATCGTAGACAAAAAGTTTGTTCTTGAATTTTTTCTTTTCAATTAAAGATTAAATGCTTTTTGAGCTTGACTTTAAACCTAGAAACTTTTCTCATTAGAAAACAATTTAAAAATTATTTAACTAAAAGAAATTAAACAATAAATCAATGTTTAATTTTTCAGTTCTCTGATCTTTTAAGATGCTCAACTGACAAAACTCAGGATTTTACTTTCGAATTAAGTTTATTATTTATGGAATAGTAAGTTACTAATTTTTAAATTTTTGTTATTTAAACTGAAAACAAAAATTAAAACAAACTTCTTTTTAAAAAAACTAAGATTTTTTTAAAAACAAAAGTATTTTTAAAAATTAAATATGCTATTATTTTGAAATTCCCCTATTTCCCCCACTTTAGTTCTTAATGACTTTCTTCTTAAAGTTGAAAAAAACTAAAAGGAAAATAGTTTAATCAATAATTAATCAAAAATGTTTGTAATACCTGAAAGGAGATGAGTTTTTAAATGTTTCATGAATTGAAAAATTATTGAACAAGTTATATCAAAACTAAGGTGATTGTTTTTAAAAAATGAGATATAAAATTTTTAATAACATGTTTTGACTTTTGATCTATTCTTGGAAATATTTGAACACATCTTGTACATTCAAAATATAAAACATGGTCTTAGATTTTTTAAAATATATTACAACTCATCTAAGGAAATTTTATTAACTTCTAGATATCTTTTATTATAGATTGTCACAAGATCTGAAATGTTAAATTCATAGCTTATTTCTATCAGAAATCATCAATAAATTGTATGTTTTGTGAAATTGTAATTAAAAGAAAAACAGCAATAGTCAGTTATTTTTAAAGTTTCTCAGAAATGCACTAAAATAATTTTTGTATGTTTTCAAAGTTTTTAGAAGTAATTGATCATTACTGCTTTGCTTTTACAATTCTGCAGGTGGTATTATTATATCAGAAAGATATAACAGTATTTCTCTAGAGGCCCAGTAAGAAGTGTATAATAATTGTTATTGCAAGCACTCTCATAAGATCTTTAAATTTAACATTCCTCAATATCAGTCAGTTTTGTAACAGGAACTTTCAAGCTATAAAAATACATAAACAACATAACTTGAAAGGAATAATGACAGATTGAAATTTTATATGCTTGTTTGTTTGCATTTTTGGATCATATTACATAAAATATTTATAAAATTAATAATAATATAAATCTACAAGTGTTTTATAATATCAATAGAAGTGTCAGAAATGATGGAAATTAAATTTATATTTTTTGGTATAATTTTTAGTTAAATATTAGCTTCTCACAGGCACTGTGACTACTCCCTCTTCTTTTTTTCTTCTCGTGTGTGAGACTGCCAAAAGATTAATTAATACTTGAAAGTTTCAATTCAATCAAAATATTCACTATTAAGTACTGGAATTTATAACTATCTCTTTCAAAACCTTTTATTTCCAGTAAAAATAATAATATCTACTCGCTTAAACAAGTTCTTGATAGAGATACGAAAACATTTGTTCAAGCAAATAAATATTATTATTTTCATTGGAAATAAAAGGTTTTGAAAGAGATCAATTCAATCACTCAATCAATAGAAATTGTGATTTAGTGAAATTGTATTTTACATCTTCATGGAGAAAATAGAGAAATGATATTCTGTTCTATGTTGTACCATGAATTCTCTTTAAAACAGAAACATCTTTTTTTAAACAGAATTCAATTTTTTTTAAAAAATAAAAAGATGGTAACAGAAATACCATGAATGGCAGAAATACCAATCTTAAATAAATAAATTTGATGAATATCAATAACAAGTAAATATGTAATCCAACACCTTATTTTTCGCTGAGAGATTATTTTTAATTAAAACAAACGTTTTCGATCCATTCATTGGATCATCCTCAGGCTAAATAGAACACTTCATAAATAGAACTACTCATTTAAATATTCAAAAATACAAATAAACCGATAACATAAAAAATAAATAATACTTGTAAATAATACAAATATTCAAAATAAATAACATAATATCATTACTAAATAATAATATCGTCTGTCTAACTATATAGAGCTTATTATTTCATACTAAATTTCCTGCGCTTTTTTTAAGCTTTTAACCGCAAACTTCCAAGCGGAAGGAAGACCCTCCGCATCTCTTGCGTTAATACATTTTTCTTCAAGTTTGCTTCTATAAATTTCTATCTTTTCAGCTGTTCTTGCCAATGCCGGCGAGTGTATCTGTTTCAGGATTTCGGCTTTATCCCAGTGTATCAATGAACCTTCTGCCTGCGCCATCTGGGCCAAAACTGTCGCATTAGAACCTTTTCTGATATCATATTTGTGTTCTTTGATCCTTAAACCTAGGTTCCTAGTTGTAACCCCTACATATTCTTTCTTAATTCCTAAAAGCTGGGATTACATATATAATTGTTTTCTGCTGGGTATAGTTGTGGTTTATATCAATAACAAGCTTCTTAAACTGGATAAAAGTATAAATGTGAAGAGTTTTAGCCTATTAACAACAATTCTTTATTATATATAAACATCAACTCACAGCCCGAGTAGATAATAACAACACCAAACGATCGCCTAATTTATCGGGCTATAATATGGCTATTTTAAATGATTGGAACTAAGTAATTTGACATTAGAGGTAGGCGTTAGGCGCCATCTCTTAATTAAATTAATAATTAAATAAATAATAATTAAATAAATAAATTTAGAACATTCTGGAATAAAAGAACTGGCCCGGGCGGGGCTTGAACCCGCAACCTCCGCTTGCCGTGCGGTGCGCTTGCCAGTTACGCCACCCGGACCCCGAGCTAGTCTTCGCTTCCAGAAGTATATTAGATTTAGATATAAATTAGGCAATCGTTTGGTGTTGTTAATTCTTTATTAATCAAACACTTTCAGCTATCTAAGTAGAATTATTTTAAATTAAAATTTTAACACTTTTAGAAAATAATATAAAATAAAATACAAATGATAATATATCATTTTTTATCATTTGTATTTCATTTTTAAAAAAACAGAATTGTTAAATATATACTGTACATAAATAATTAGTCCTTGGTTTTTGTTTGAAATGTACTTCCATGTTGAGAATAAGCAAGCAGCATCCTTATGATTTATATTATACATGAGTTCTTAATACTGTTTGTGTATGGTTATTTTTTTAGAGTTTATTCCTGTACATTGGTCCCTGGTAGATTTAAGAATTTTGCATCCTTAAAGTGAACCAAACAACAGCCTTAATTAATTGAACTATTTTATGCTAGAGGTAGACGTTAGGCGCCATCTCTTATCGAAATTAATAATTATAATAATTTAATATTTATTAAATAATTTAGAACAGTCTGGAAGAAAAGAATCAGTCCGGAGTGGGAGTTGAACTTGCAACCTCTGTTTACCATGTGGTGCACTGCCCAGTTATGCCACCCAGACCTCCAAGTGACTCTTTGCTTCCAGACATTTAAACCTTTGATATAACCATCTATGGTTAATCATGGTGCTAACTGGGGACCACATTGAGGCCTTCCTCGATATAAAAGCCATTCTATCCATCAAACATTTGAAAACGGAGAAACATTCTAAACCAATTATGATGTGATTTGAAATTTACATTATAAATTAATAAACATGGATTAATATAAATTATAAATAAAGTAAAATTAAATGTTAAAAATAATAATAATAATAATAATTTCTCTCCCATGGTCATCACCTGGTTGTGGTGGGAGAACCCAGTAATTTTACTGAACCATAGAGCAATGCAGGGTGGAGCACAAGCTCCTGGTAGGGACACCCATGCCAGTAAGGTCTATGGGGAGAAATGAAGCTAAGAGTGACCACACCCACATTCTGTGGAGATAATTATTATGGTAGTAACCAGATCAAAGTGTGATACCGGCTTGGATGTCGCCCGAGTTAACAAGGTCCGCGTTTGTGGGTTAGGCAGAGGCTCACATTCGAAAAATAGGCCACAGTCTCCCTTGGTTACTGGTGGCGAAAGCAGCGCCGGCCCAAGCATGGCTACTGCAATGTCCTCAACAGATGTGAGGAATCAACCTAGCCTTGGTGTTTCTGTGGCAATGCGTCCACAGACCACAAAGGCTGGAAAACCACGCCAACGGATGAAATGGACAACAGAAATGAATCAGTTTATCATCCGTACTTACTACATCATCACAAAACTCGAAACAAACATGACAGCATACAGACAACTACACCATAGATTCACACAACAATATCCTCACCTCACTGTCACCGAACAAAAAAGAACAATTGTACACAACAACCTTATCCCACAACCAACACTTAAACTTATCAAACAACAGGTTGCTGATCAAATACATCAACAAGCAGAAACATTTAATATCAATGAAGATCACGTAACCTGTCATGATAATCCAGCAACAAGCATTGATAATAGTACACATACAACAACTACCAATAGTGATACTACAGACACTCCATCATCTATCACTGATAACATAGATATAGATTTAGTTAATACACTCTCACTTATATTTCAGGAAACACTCACTAAATATACAGGCACAGATCCCACACAAAGACCACGAATACCGAAAATCAACACGTCAAAGGTAGTAGGAAAAACACTAAATTATGTAAACACTCACTTACTACCAAACTACATTCATTCAATTTCTACACTCTCAGACATTCATACATTAGTTTATGCTGGGGCAGTCACAGTAGTAACACACCATGGACTGAAAATACACTCACAGACAGACACACACAAAACACAATTCTATCACAAGCCTGCCTGGCAGAGAAGAATAGAAACACAAATAAATGACATTAGACAGCAATTAGGCAGGCTGACACAATACACTAAAAACAACATAACACCCAAATTAAAGAAACAACTCAAAAACATTTTCAAGAAAATTAAAACACACACAAAACATGAACATCACAACACACACATTACAGAATACATCGATACACTAAAACAAAAACTCGCAGCCAAAGCACGTAGACTCAAACGATACAAAACATGTACACTACGAAAACAACAAAATAAATTATTCACAAACAATGAAAAACTTTTCTACAGACAAATCAGTACCAAAACAAACACTGATACACAGCACAGTGGCACACCAACAGAAGAAGAACTCACAACTTATTGGTCTTCTCTTTGGTCCAATGCTGTTACACACAATGCTGATGCAGGCTGGATCAAGGAGGAGAACAGAAAC